CTATCTATCTATCTATCTATCTATCTATCTATCTATCTATCTATCTATCTATCTATCTATCTATCTATCTATCTATCATCTATCTATAAATGCACATGCATGTCTACATTCATATCAAATAGTTCTTTATACAGTTGCATGGGTGGTTGGTCTTAAGAAGGCACTTTACTTCATAGAGAAGATGTTGCTTTGATGTTAGTAGAGGTACAATGCTTTGCTCACTGTTGTGATCATGGAAGCACATCCTATGGGTGTTTTGCTCTTTTTTCTAGAAAGCAAAGGATCTCATCAAAGATCAACCCAGTCCTAGTGCTGCATATAAATCACAGGACCTGCATGTGGCAATGATTGTGCCACGCTATGTCCATCTCTCTTTATCTTTTTATATAACATGACTATTTCTTTGTGACATGTTGTATCTGTTTTTATTTCTGACTATTCAGGTTGAAATGAAAGATATTGGTAACATTTACAAAATCAGAATAGGCCACGATGGATCAAGTCAATATGCAGACTGGATGTTGGAAAAGGTCAGGTTCCTGGTACACTTTGCAATGTTTCTTATTCCTTTTCACTGAATATTATATGTTAGAGCAATTACTCCATCTCGTGGCCTCCTAATATGTTGAGACCTCTAGGAATTTAGAAAAATGATATAGTATAGCTAGAAGACAATAGCTTAGCTATTTAAACAGATAAATAGATGTTTCTTTTTAAACAAATGAGCAAGAGGTTTTTTTTAAAATAGCCCAGAATTATCTTGATGCAATATGAAATATTGCTCATCAAATTATATTATCATATAGGTGCAAGCCATTTGCTGAAGACCTGGCTTGGAGACACAGTGGAGCAGTATCATACTGGAGTTGGTTAATGGGTCAGAAACTTCTCATCTTTCTACCTGCTCCCTTCCTCTCAATCTTTTAACTGCAATTTTATTTTTGATTGTAATTTTTAAATATATTTATATTTTAATCATTACAGCTTCTAGTGTTATAATCTGCTCAGAGTTGCTTTGAGGTTGAATGGCAAATAAAGCCAATAAAAAGAAAAATAATAAATAAGTAAATATTCACACAGGTGTGGACTTTCTAAAACAAGTTTAAGATTAAAATCTCATTTTATTAATACATTCAATATAGATTATCTTCTTCTACCTCTTAACCTGGCAAAATAATTACAGAAAATTACAGAAAATAATTATTTTCTTGTAAATATATGTAGATTGACAAAATGAGGTGCATTAAAATAATGGCTAGTTTTTTGTCTTGTCTAAAAGTTAGGGCAGGTCACAGATCCCTTCAGTTCTAGCCATGCCAGCTGGAGATACTAGATTCTATAGTACAGTATGTGGAGGCCCTTAACTTTCCCACTTTAGTTCTAAAGAGCTTTTATCTCAGTGCAACTATGATCCCATTTTATTGTCTTGTGCTCACAAAACCAAGTAAATTGATTATTTCATTAGAATACCTGTATTTGCTCTGCAGTGCAGCTATTGGAGAAGTAGATTGGTCTCTTGCTTAATATCCTATGCAGAGTTGTGTTTTATTCTGTAAGTTTAATTTACAAAGAAAAACTTTTAATAAGAAGTACTCTAATAGCAATAGTTGCCATTCAGGATGAGTACTGTTAGAAATAGAACACTCAAAATGGAAGTGAAAATATTTTCAGTCCAACTCTCATTATTTCAGAGATTCTGTTATTTTTCTATTTTGTTGATTCATTTTTCTTTAGTATTTGAGTCCAAGATTCATAAATATGGTTTCTGGATTTGAAAGGATGACCTTCATTCAAAGGAACAAGTAACTTACTGGAACATGGCTTTGTTTCCTGGTATTTTAGCTATTTTGTGTATATCAGCAAAGAAAGCTGGGCTAATAAGGATAAAGCTTTAGAACATAAAGTATGAGGTTTATTTCTGCAAAAGTCTTTTATATCAAATTGAAAATGTTCAGTGTTAAAATTCAGTTTAAACAAATTAAATCAGAGACTGCTTTCTGAAGTTAACTATAAGAAAGAGGTATGAATAATTTATTGGTTATTCTAAGTTTTCATTTTACTTTATTTTATAATTGTGCTGCAATTGTGGGAAGATTCGGAAGTAAAAATATTTCCTGTTCTTTCTTTGATAGGTAACATTACAACATATGAAGACTGGTAGAATTTTGAAGTTTCCCACAAACAAGTGGCTATCCTGGAATGAAGGGAATGGAAATAGTGTGTGTGAACTTTCTGCTGCAGAAAATGGAAGAAGCCTTTATCCAAGTAATCAATCTATTTTCTATCCAGGAAATCCAACAAGCCAAGATGATATCTGCATAATTGAAGTCCTGTTCCTTTTATATATTATTCACATATACAACATACTTTTAAAAGATGCAGGTCTTCACTAATGAGATCTTGGCTGCTCTTTTTATTTTTTTTAAAATATCCTTTCCCCTTCCATGGTTGAGCCTACTTTTGACAAAGAAGTATAAATATGTGAAAAGTAACACAGTGTATTGTCCTACATCCATGATGGCGAACCTATGGCATGCATGCCAGAAGTGGAACACAGAGCTATCTCTCTGGGCATGCGAACCATTGCCCATTGCTCTTCCGGGTTCCAGTGCACTGGCCAGCTGGTCTTCACATGCACAGGAGCACTGGAAACTGGAATAGCAGCCACCTGGGGCGCATGTGCACTGGGTGGCTGCTCTTCCAGTTTCTGGCATCCACATGCACACCAACCACCTGGTCTTCTGGTTTCTGATGTGTATGTTCATGTAAAGACCAGCTGGCCCGTGTGCATGCACATGCTGGAAACCAGAAAACCATCTTCCCGGTGTGCACCTGTACACTAGGTGGCTGTTCTTCCGGTTTCTGGCACATGCACATGCATGCGCTCCCATTTCAGCACTCAATGCTGAAAAGATTTGCCAACACTGTCCTATACTGAGCTAGCTTTAAAACATTTTGAGCCCACTGTTGCTGGCCAAAGCTTACTAAAATTCCAACTGGAGTTCCCAGAGCCGAGGTGGCGCAGTGGTTAAATGCAGCACTGCAGGCTACTTCAGCTGACTGCAGTTCTGCAGTTCGGCTGTTCAAATCTCACCGGCTCAGGGTTGACTCAGCCTTCCATCCTTCCGAGGTGGGTAAAGTGATGACACGGATTGTTGTTGGGGGCAATATGCTGACTCTGTAAACCGCTTAGAGAGGGCTGAAAGCCCTATGAAGCGGTATATAAGTCTAACTGCTATTGCTATTGCTATTGCTATATATCTACAATTAGGCATTAAACCTGAACCTCTTTTTGCCAATTGGTGTTCTCTCTGCCAGATTATAATTTCTGCAAGTATCTTGCTTCCATGGCAGAGATTAGGTTGTCCTTTACCCACTTACCTGGAATAGTATTTAGTATTTTTAGTATTTTATTAGGATTTATAGGCCGCCCTTTTCCCTGAGGGGACTCAGGGCGGCTTACAATCATTAGGGAGGGGGTGCAATTCAAAATAAACAATATGTGAGCAAAATAAAATAATAAAAACACAACTTGCATTCAACATTCAACACTCGGGTGGGGCAAATTAGAGGAATAAGGCCCATTTCATTTAGAGGGATCTAGTTTTGAATAGAAAGCTTTGGAACCTATGTTAGATGGAGTGAAATAATCTGGATCCTGTTCTCTGCACTCTCTGGAAATTAATGGGGAATGAGTGGTGGTTACCATGTGGTAACCTCTTTTCTCTATGACCCCCCAAATGTTGTTTTTTAAGCACCTTTTAAGATTCCCTATTTACATTGGCTTTGCCCAGCCTTTAAAGTTTGCTCATCCCCCATGAATTGTTCCTTGCTTTTAATGGAATTTTTACATTTTGCTTTCAGTTCCATTTTTTTCTCTTGTTTTATACCCATATTTGATTGCATTGTAAGCCACTTTTCTATTTTTTTAATAAGAAGAAAAAGGGGAGCTTTGATTGAAGGGAAAAAAAAACACACTTTTTTCTCTTTACAACTAACGTGCCTCACTTCTTCAACGCTTCTACAAACAATGTGTTTCTCTCCTAATGCAAAGTCATTTTGATGTTTTACTTTTGATACCTCCTTTGGTAGTTCCAATAGTTTGAAAATTGTTGTTCACATTTATGACCCTTTCAGTCAGATAATGAAAGCACCAAAAGAGGCTCCTGCACATACTGCAGTGTCTCTTCTGGTTAATGCAACTATCCAGGAATGGAAGTTGTACCCCCTCCAATCCACAGTGAATCAAGTGTGTATGAAATGAATTGCCTTAGCAAAGTCAGTTATGACTACTTCAACACAAGGATGCAGCACAAGTCATGACAATGTGCTATATGTCCTATTATAGGGAAGTTGCCCATTTTTGGTGCATAAAAATGGTGTCATTTGTGTGATGAAACCATGACACATGTGATATCATTCTCCTCATTTGACTCCATGCAGTTTGTATACCTCTAATTTCAAATAACAATCATGAGACTTTATGTTAAACAAATACTGTATTTGACAGTAAATCTAACATGGAAATTTGTTTGTATTATATACATTTAAGTCATTGATGTATTTTGAGCTATGATTCTCTTTTCCTAGTTGTGAGTTATCAGGTTTATGTATCTACTGGGCATCTGGAACACGCTGAAACCACATCTTCCATTTATCTGTGCGTATATGGAGAAAGAGGAGATTCTGGTTTGAGACTTCTTGCTAAATCAGACCAACCTATAAAATTTCAGAGAGGAATGGTAAGTATGCCTAAGTAATACATTCATAATACATAAACTATTTATCTATAAGTTAATTATAGAGAAACTAAATGTGACTTTATTGCAGAACATTACATCAATTTTGAAGGAAATGGAATCAAACTTCAGACTTTAAGTCACCATTCAATTTACCTATATCTTGTTACATCTTATAATATATTCTGTTCTGTACAATATCTACATCCTAATCTATTTACGGTATATCTAAATATCCTGTTTTCATAATGAAAAATTATGCCTCCCTCCCAACTACCATTATGAATAATAAAAAACAGGATTCTAAAAATATATTAAGGAAAATAAATGTTATAGCAATAAAAAAGAAGGAAACATGCAAAAATCTTTGAGCAAGGCTTTCGATTTGAGATGCTTAAATGCAGGCATGTGGATTATGGAAATGTGTTGAATATTTAGCAGTTAGCAGCAGTTAGACTTATATACCGCTTCATAGACCTTTCAGCCCTCTCTAAGCGGTTTACTTGTTGTTATTAGTATTTT